AAATAAAATAAAATAAAATAACAAAAGTAAATTTAAAACTAAATAAAAAATTTAAATTAAGAATAATAATAAAGTGATATAAATATAATAGTATAAAATAAATTAAAATAATGAAAGTAAAATAAAATGTAACAATGAAATTAAATAAAAAACAAAAATAAAACAAAAAATTTATTCATGTGAAATAAAATACATTAAAATGTAATAAGAATTGAATAAAAAAATTATTGAGTGAAATAAATTTAAAAAATATTAATATGTATAATACATACATTCATACATACATCCAAAATTAATTCCAAATTAAATAAATGATTTGTTTTGATATAACGAAATGTTGGACAAAATAATAATTCTTTCATTTTGCATTTTTATTTAAACACCAAAGTGCGACTTAAAAAGAGAATAACATACACGCACACTGCTAAAACTATAAATACATATATATAGATACATATATGTATATAAATAGCAAATTAAAATTGTCGATGCAAAGCGTTTACACAAATTTAAATCACGGAATTTAGTTAAAAATAATTCGGTAAATTATTTTGCGTTTTTCTTGCATTATTTGCATATGAAATTGTTCTTTGCACACTAACACCAATAAGACATATTAAAACTAACAAACACTTTTTTGTTTTTACATTTAAAATAAGGATTTTAAGGATTAACTTTTAGCACAACGAAGATATTATCTTTTTGATCAATTGCAATCGATTTAAGTGAATTTTAGAATTTCAGGAGTTGCTTATAAATATTTGTTTTTTTGTTTTTTATTTTGATAAAAATCACAAACATACACATACATACATACATATATGGAGAAAACACATAATTAAGTATTAAACGCGCACATCTGAACTGATGGTTTTTACTTGCAATTAAGTTGATTTTTTTTGTTTTTTTGGAATTCAATTACTTTGTATACTTTACTTACCTCTTTTTTCGATTTCAATTCCTCCGAATTGAAACTGTTGAGCAACAACGCCAAGAACAAGTTTAGCACCATGAAATTTCCCATAACTAGCGTTGGCAAAAATATTGCAAAACATGAAGAGGCACCTTGCTGCAATCGACAGATATTAGGTACATAAATATTTTTTATATCGTGACTTTCATTGAACAAATATTCTACGCACCTCTTCCTCTGCACGCATGCAATCCCACAGCGGCTCAATCCACTCACCACACAATATGCGAAAAATCATCATAAACGAATGGAAAAAATCGTTGAAATTCCACCTGCGAAAATTATGAACGTAAATTGCATACGAATGAAACTTTTACCGAATCGCAAGTGTCCATTACACTCACCTTGGCACTGGGTCTGGATCGAATTTTTCTGGTGTGTAATCTTTCGAAAACAACTGCATGCCGATCACAGCGAATATATAAATGACTATAACTAAAATTAGCGTAAGATTACCCAAAGCACCTATTGTCGATATAATAATGCTGAGCAGGACCTTCATTGTCGTCCAAGATTGCGCAAGTTTCAGCACGCGAAGCTGTTGTGTAAGGAACAAGTTCATTTAGAAAAGCTTCATACATACATACATATGTACATATCTACTGCTTAAACAGTGTGATTTGATACGCACCAAACGCAAGCCCCGCAACACGCTTAGTCCATCCACCAACTCAAATATGATATCTAATAAACTGGCTGTCACAATTATCAAATCGAATATGTTCCAGCCACATAGAAAAAAATCCTTCGATAGTGCCATTAATTTAATGATGCATTCGAATGTGAAAATCGATGTAAAAACCTGAAGAGTGAAAGAAAAACACATACATACATACATATAAGCCGTAATGCGAGCATGCATTCAGATCTAAAGTGCTGCTGACCTTATTTCCTACGTCTAATGCATTGCGAAAGTTCTCACTCATGCCATGATGTTCCATAGCTAAAAATGCCGTATTTAATACTATACAAAGTGTGATAGCTAATTCGAAAAGTGGATCGCGCACCACCTACAAGAGTTTGGAAAACATAAAAAGTTATTGGAAGGCTGAAGTTTTGCTTGCAGAAGCTTACCTTATAGAGACAATTTTGAAACTGCAGCCAGCCTTCATAGTTGACGCAGCATTGTATGCATCTATCACAATTACGATCCGGAAGATCATCTAAAAAATTAATTTCAAATAAAAATAACATTTTTAGTTTTCGCACTCTTATCTCCTAACTGTTCCCATCTGCCGTTCACACTTACCGATCACCACAATTTCCGAAGAAAATTCCTGATGCAGCGCATAAATGTTATGCTTCTTAATGCGTGCAATGTTACCATTGCATTTGATGAGCCGTACCTCACGCGGCGACAGTGCCAACGTTACTGAGGTCAGCTCATTTGGCAACTCCACTGTGGATACATTCACCATTTCGGTGCCCGTTTCCTGCTCCTCGTGATCGTCCACCACACCGGAATCATCTTGAGATGATTCACGATTGACACCACTCGAATTGGAACTAGCTTGACGGCTACCGGGCACCAATTGACCTTTGTAATCGGATGGATATAGCATATTTGGATTTTTATTACCACCATCTTCTTGGAAGCATATGCGTGTGCGAGCAGTCTGCGCTTCTTTCGGTGTGAGCGCTTGTGGTGTTTGTGGTTTTTGTTGTTGTTGTTGTAGTTGTTGTTGTTGTGCAGTGGGTGCTGGCAGCAATTGTTGTTGCTGCTGCTGCTGCTGCTGTGTGGTTGTGTGTTGCAATTGCAGCTGCTTGGGACGTTCAGCGTTGCTGTGACGCGGACTTGGACCGGGACTGGGCGTAACGGATCTACTTTTATTCTGCACAAAGATAGAACCAACATTCAATTAATTATATATCTGTATGAAAAAATGGTATTTTTGATTAATTTTGAACTTTACTTGGCCATCTCCGTTGCTATCGTTGTTGCTGTTGGCACCATCCTTCCCCCCTTTAGCCTTTTTTCGACGCGTCTTCTTTTTGCTGTACGAAGCCAGCAGTACGCCCTTACGAGAATCGATTTTCTTTTTGTTATTTTTATTAAGTTTTTTAACATTTAAAACGGACGGGTCGAAGCTAAATGTTGAATCATCGCGATGATCCAATAAGTCTTTCTTGCGTTCCTAAGTTAAAAGCGTAACAAAAACCAATCATTTACCAATTCAAAATCTTTTAAATTAATTAATTTGCAAATTACTAACTTCGTTTGTTATTTCCGCTTCTTCCTCGTAACTTAATGCAACTACGGCTAACATTAGATTAATTAAATAAAATGAGCCAAAAAACACAACCACGGTAAAAAATGACACACTCATGGGACCAGATGTGGCCAAGACCTAAAATTAAAAAGTATCGTTAAAAAAAGGTCTGTTGTATTAAAAATAAAAAATTACCATATTGTACACATTCTCCCAATAGTCTAAGGTTATCAACTGGAACGTTGTCAACATAGACCACATGAAGTTATCGAAATTCGTATAACCATGATTTGGGTTCTCGCCCACACAGAGGCAAGTATAACCAAGAGGGCAGTGACGCGCACCGGTCAAATTGCCACACAGCATCGGCAATTCTTCGTCGTCGTAGAGCCAATTGTCAGTATCGTTGATCCAGCTATAAATTACAAAGAATAATAAAATAAAAAAGAAATAATTCTTGCAATTAATCTTCACACAGACCTCCTCCATTCCACATCGGTGGTATTCACCCAATCGTCTGGAAGATTTTTTACACACTTATTTCTTAGTTCTCCCATGTATACCTGTAGGGAAACAAACCATTACCAACCCCTTTCACATTTCGCTTTTTCTCCTTATTACTCACTTGTAGTGCGAATAGTGCAAAGACCATTAAACAAAAAATGGTCAAGGTCATAACCTCGGCCAATTGTCGGAACGAGTGCAGTAGTGCGTTGATGATAGTCTTTAGTCCTGGCATTATTGAAACAGTCTTTAATGCGCGTAATACGCGAAATGTACGCAAACCGGCTAGATTGCCCACCTCCATGCCAATAGTAGCATAGCCACTTGTGATGACTACAAAATCCAGCCAATTCCATGGATTGCGCAGATACGTGTACTTGTTGAGTAGGAAGCCTTTGGCAACGATTTTGATCACCATTTCAATGGAGTAAATCGCAAGGAAGATGTATCTGTTTAGATGTGTTTAAAAAAGGAAGCGGATATGAAAATATGTACAATAAGTTAGGTTATGCCAGTATATGCTTACTCAGCCTCTTCCACAGTCTCAGTCATGGCTAAAAAAATGCAATTGAACAGAATAGTGGCCATGACGCAGTAGTCGAAGAACTGATTCGTTGCAATGTAGACGCAAACACGACGTGCCGTACTCCATGGATGGAAAAGGAAGAGGCTCTTGGTGCCGGTGAATCGGTGTATGTAATTTTTACGAAAACGCTTCGATACCACACAAAATGTCTGAAACGAAGAAAAGTAATTGCACATATGTAGTTGAGAGATATACACTAGTGAAACCCTATAATGAAAAGTAGTTTTAAAATTCAATAATGCACTGTTTTTAAATGCAAATAATTACTAACGGATGTTTGCTAAAATTAATTTCCTGTACACACACTACCAGTGGTGAAAAACACAACGCTGCGCAATTCAGCGCATGCGGGTGTTGATTTTCAACTTCCGTTCATCTTTCTTTCGTTCGGTTACACGGTGTTTACAGAGGCGATTATCTGAATCGAAAGTTGACTGCCAACCAATGTCGTTGAAAGCGTTTAGTTGAAAGGCAGTTTACAAGAGCCGGTTGATGCTTTTAACTAAAAGTTGACTGTAAAATCGTCCCTAAAGAAAATACACTATTAGGGAACAAAATACTACACTAGCACAAATTCGTTAGACAGTGATTAGCCTGAGTCCAAAGACTGCAAAATTGGTTTTGCCATATAAAGAAACTAGAGATAACTGTTATACACAAAAAATACAGTAGTACCAAAATAACGAAAACTTTGTATGAGACTCAGTGTAACTACCTCAGATCAAACTAACCTAAGGTTAAAATGTTCAAAAAATTGCTTTCAATTTGTACACACTCATACTCTTTTTATCAATACAATCACATTTTTCCAAATTGCCTACCACCTTGCAAACAATTTTTAGTTCAAATGCAATGCAGTTTTTCATCATAGCTTTGGGTGGCGAGTTTTTGTGTGCAGAAAATTGTGTTAATTTTTGACAACACATACATGTGATGAATTGAAATGCATTCTATGAACGTGTAAATGCGGCGTATGCAGCCGCCATCTTGTTTGCTTACCAAAAGCTCAAGGCGAATTCATAATTCGCCTGTTCAAAAGCTTGTCCGCCACCACACCACACATTTGGTCACCATTGGGACTTAGGGTTGCAAGCAAATCTTTTTCGGCAATTAGGGTGTTGTGCAACAATGTAGTGTGGTGAAGATGGTAAAGACTGTAGGTTTCGCTTATGGTATTAATCAAATTTAACATAATTCTATATTATAAAAATACCAAAAATATTTATAAGTTAGTTAAATATAAACAAATTTAATTGTAAAAATATATTTTGATTTTCTTAAGATATACGGAATGAACATGTTTTAAAGACTTACATACCTGATTTTCGTTAAAAATAAAATAAATAATAAATATTTACGTAATCATCTGGAAAATAACACATATATGCATACTCGTTAACTACGACTTGGCAATGGCAAATCACCGAGTGTATTTCTGCTTTAAAAACTCATAAAAAACATTTGTTGTTCTGAGGCAGAGTAAAACTGTTATAACATCAACACGCCCACCACAAATTGAAGAAGAACATCGGCTAAACCCTTTACGATTCGAATGTTTTGCACAAACCGATGTGCCACGAAAGTCAGTAAAGATTTAAAAATTTAAATAATTCTTGAAATTTTCTTGCACAGCAATTTTTCGTTAATTATAACAATAAACGGTGGTTTCTATATATTTTTAATAATCATTCTGTGGTGTAAATAAACGTATTTGCATTTCTCAAAAAATTATAAAAAAAACATAATTTCTAAAAACTTTATATCATTGTGAATGAAAAGCAACCATGCGTGTTGAGAATTGCCTACTACTTGAAATTGCACCTCTGTAAGTTATCGCTATTTCACCACAATTCTGTTCACTATATTCAGCAAACGAGCTTCCGTTCATCTTTCTTTCGTCTTTAACCGTCTTCGTGTGAAGTAGAAAAATGAGAGCTAAGGTAATTTTTCATAAAAGTGGTTAAAAGTGTCTTTAAAATATAAGTAAAGTAATTTACAAACAATTAAATTTGCCAAAGTGTTTCCCAATATATATTGTTATATCGTATAAACTGCACGATTCCAATTAAAATTAATTTTCGTTCCACTAGCCGCCATTGCTGTGAATTTCTGTATACACACGTGCTTGAATATTTGGCTATTGTGCAAAAAATGCGTATATGAATTTGTCTAACATGTCTTTTTTTTCTTATAACTTTATTTATAGTGGCGTAAGAAGCGTATGCGGAGGTTGAAGCGTAAACGCAGGAAGATGCGTGCAAGGTCCAAGTAAACCCGTCGACGGCACTGAAGAATGTAAGCATTTGTCATTGCAAACGTGGAGCGCTAGCCCTCCAAATGAAGCAAAACTAATTTTTCATTTCCCTTATATTGCAGGTTTTTGTACAAGCTTCAACCTGATATTCCATTAGAGAGCTTCGAGTAAAGATTTGGCTGCCAAGTATTTGGAGGCGTTTCGGAAAATTTACATATTTAATGTAAATTAATTGGAATAAAGAGAAATCTTTGAATATTTACTAGAAGTGATAAAAACTTAAAATATGATATCTTACTTATTATTGGAAATGGTTGGTGGACTTTTTTGTTTGTTCATAAGGCATGTGACGTTTTGTGGCACCTATACGAATTTTGGAAATAGGTGAAACACTTGTACAAATAGCATACCACGTTTTGAGCACCTTAACCTCAAACGAGAAATCGGGCAGCTGTTGCTAGCGCAATTAACTTTGCTTGATCGACTATATAAAAGGTATATAGGAAGAACCTTTTATGCAATTTTCGCTTATGTCGTTTTACAATGTGGGTGAAAAGACAGTCGTATTTAAAATCGTACTGCAGATTTGGGAATGGTATTTCATATCTGCATAATGAACATATTTCAGAGAGCACTTAAATACAATTTTGGGTTCTGATGTTAGCATTTAAAACAGTAGACAGAAACTTTTTTACAGCCATTGGCAACACAAACGAGGAATTTCTATCAACTGGAAGATTTATCGAGTATGTGGTAATTAAAGAATGATGCTTGGATTTTTAAGAGCTTTAATATTTGCAAAGTCTAATTTACACAGGGGCATAGTAATGAACTGTATGCATATATGTCGTTACCTTAATGTAAAGAAGCCGTTACTAAAAAAATTGTGTAATGCATGAAAGGATGTGGGGCTTATAATTCCATGAAATGCATCGCAATCATTCAAAAAGTGAATTTTGGATTTTTAGTTGGTTACGGCTTTTTGTATTTCAGCGACTACGTGAGATAGGGCCTTTCTGTTTTAACTTACAACTAACTACTTTTCTAAAACCAAGTGTTTTGCACAAGGCACCCACAAATGGTTTTTTTTTTCAATAAAAAGGCTTCACTTTGCTCTTAGTATTACAAGTTTGGCAAGAAGTTTAACAGAATAGATACAATTCATATTACTGATTGAACTCGTAAACGATATTTGATCTTGATTATTCTATTCCGAAAGCATATATTTAAATATGGGCTTCTCCCGCATGTTTTGGCAATGAAAATTCATTTTGTGTAGGTTCCTTCAGGCATTTCCGCTGACATTTGGTTTTAACGTAAAGCTTTTCAAAACCGAAATCCCATTTCAAGATTGCAATTACGCGCTGTAGGACGACCGTTCTAAGAAAAAAGTTTTATTTATAAAATATGATATGCTATGACACATGTAATTATGATTAATCAAAGATCACATATTGAAAACAAATTTGAATTTACGCTCTCGTTATCTCAGTCACTAAAACACCGATTTTGTTTTAATTTATTGCATCTGGTAAAGCTTTTGCCGGTAAACATCTGTGTTCGAATTTCGAACTCTGCTTCCATTGTTTACATTCGTTTCGCCGCGTCGTTTGCTGTCGTATGGAAAAATCGCCCGTAGCGTGGACATCACAGATTTGTATAAATCTTGCGATAATTGTGTAACCGAAAGACTTTGTTAATTATGCAATTTTAAGAAAATTGTGTGATTTCAATAAACAAATATTTGGTGAGTGAAAATATGAAAAAGTCAAAGCGCGAAGCTGTCGAATTATGCTGCTTGTGGACATTTTCGATGTTTCTACTTTTTCTGATTGGAATATTACGAGTATTGGAGTGCGAGCTCCTATATTTGTTGGTGCGCCAAATGTGCTGCTTGTTCACTTAAAAGCGTGTACACATTTTCTGATTGCAAATTGTGTATGGATGTGCTAATTTTAAACAAAAAACCTTGTCCAATATATGCACATACATACATATACATACCGGTTTCAACAAACTTGTGCCTTTTATATTGGATACATTTAAAGCCATTCCAATTAGTGCTCAAATAAGAATTTGGGTGACAATGAAAAATGCTAAAAGTAGCTCCAATCAGCAAGTGTGCTATATAAAATCTTGTTAGAATAATACAGGAAAGACAAGAATGATATTAGAACAAAGTTGATAAAAATGGTTTCTATCAGTTTCTATAAAATTCAGTGACTATAAAATGTTTAGAACAGCGTGATTTCGGAGTTCTTTGCTGCTAATATACATATATATGAAAGTAGGTACACGCCAAGTACACGCATTCGAAATTATTAAATTTTGGATCATTAATCCACACACATACCGTTCCACTCCGCTGACCATATCGAAAGCGCAAAAGAAACTTGTTTACCCACCGCACAGCACGGTTGTTGTTGCTTGTTTATAGTCGCTAGCTTTGTTTGCCAACACTAGTTGATTACATTTTCGGTGTACCTGTGCAAGGTAATGTGGCACCATACAGATTAGATACATTTCCAATTATCTTTACCTGATTACAAAGTTCCTAAGTCGGAATGGCTCTTGCTCTTATAAAAATAATAACGAGAATTTACGCTCCAAGTGACTTTTGGGCAATACATACATATGTACATAAATATGTACATACATGTATATTAAAGTCCAGCGCAAGTGTATTTGCCGCATTTCGTTCAATAAGTACTCCTTGCATTGTACTCTACTCCCAACACATTGTTACTCTTTTTCCGCATACATACACTACTTGGCCTTGAGAGAGTAAATACTTCACGTCCTTGCTATTACTCCACCAAAGTAGGTACTCTACTTTCTCTCATCGCGTACGAGAGATATACATATGCTGCTTTCAAAATGGAGTAG